TGTTTTTACAGTTGCAGATCCCTGGAATAGACTCTACCATGCTTCTTACCTCCAAGTAAACATGTATAAGATTATACTAAGTTGATTCAGTGGCAGGTTAAACAGCTTTTTAATAATAATAAAAATACCAGCTAGGCTAACAGAGAGAAGAGAATCGTGACTTTAAACTAAAATGCTAGGGGGGAAATGTATGTAAAAAAACATCCTAGTTTTTTATATTACGATTTGATATTTCTCCCAGTTTGAAGAGGCCCTGGCATTTTATTTTCTGTTGCAAACAACTTGTGTGTGTGTGTGTGTTTTGCAGGAAGGAAGTTGTGTTTGGCAACAGAACTGATTTTTCCATATGCAAATTCATCCAGATGTAGCTGGTTTTTAAATTCACCAAAGCAATTAACGCTCCGACAATCAGGGTAAACCCTATCATAAAACCCAAGACTGGGTTAAGACCAGCTCCTCCAGGTATACAAGGACAATCTCTTTTTAGGTTTCACACACACACACACACACACACACACGTGAATTTCTGACATTTCAACGTCTGAACAAATGGACCACCTTGTCTCATTCATTAGATCAAAGCTGTTCTCCCTTCGCAGGCCAAAATAAATCCCTTGTAATTAATATTATGCTCCCTTCTTAGCAGAGGCACCATTCCCAGGGCAGTCTAAAGCAGTGGTCGCCAGCCAGTGAGCCGGGGACCACTGGTGGTCCATGAGAAAATTTTGGTGGTCTGCAAAGAAATGTCACCCCCAAAGCAATTAATCCAGGCTGTGCGGAAACACAAGGCTGTGCCGCCCACATGGCCCGCAGCAACACAAGGCTTGTGTCGCTTGCATTGCGCACAACATGAGGTAGTGAGGGGAGGGGGGAACGGGTGGAGAGGGGGAACTTGCCCCACTCATCCCATGCACCTGGCCTGGCCACCAGGCTGCTTCTTTCCACTTCTTTCTTCTTCTGCTTTTGGCTACACGCAAGGAAAGTGATGGCGAACCTTTTTGTTGTGGTGTGCCTAAAGTGTATGCGTGCCGGCACCCACAATGCAATGCACGCCCCTTGTGCATGCTCACAGAACAGCCCTGCCCCACCTCCTTACCTGCACTGCACATGTGCGTGCCTCCTAGCTGATTTGAGGCCCATTTGAGGCCATTTTCGCTCTCCTGGAGGCTCGAGGGAAGCTTCTGCAGCCTCAGGAAGCCGAAAAATGGGCCCGCTTCGTCACTTACGGTATTTCCAGAACACCCATTTTTTGGCCTCCCGAGGCTGCAGAGGCTTCCCTCGAGCCTCCGGGAGAGCGAAAGCAGCCTCAAACAGGCCAAAACTCAGCCGCGAGGCGCGCGCATGCGCAACGCAGGTAAGTTTGGCTAGGGCTTGTATGCCTGCACAAATGGCACTGCGTGCCACCTGTGGATGTTCGCCATCACAAATATAGATGAGAAAACAGAAATATTATTGTTAGGCAGAATACCGGAAAAGTATGATAAAGGGAGTCTATATTTAATATTATATATTTTGACAGAAGCACAAAGTGTATATATGCACAGTATTGGGGGGGGGGGGGAGGAAATGAGGAAAACACCTACAGAAGAAGATGCAATTTAAAAAAAAATTCAGATTGCGACGAAATGGATAAACTGACACTAAAATGAAAAGAAAAATAAGACACAGAGTTTTTTCGAATACATGGGACTTGTTGTACAAGTTTTGGATAGTAGAGGTAGAAACCAGGAGAGGGGGAAAGTATTGCTATAGAATAGATAAATAAAATGACCCAGACCCTACGCTGTTCACAAAGCACCAATGGATGTAATGTGAACCATATATAAATAAACTGTAGAGGAGATTATGAAAATATTGGACTGTGCAGAAATGAGTCGATTAACATTCACAATTAAAGAACAAGAAGAAGCGGAATATTATACGATATGGGATTTATTTTATAAATGGTTGGAAAATAAAGGAAGAAGTTCAGTGAATAGTGTTACAATGATGAGATTATATAAGGTCGAGTAGTTTTTAATCTGAATGTAATCAGAGGAAGAAATGTACACAAAATATAAATATAAATGTTTATATAAATATATATACAAAATATAAATATTTGCACAAGTCATATGTACCCAGTCGACATGCTGTATAACTGAAAGATGGATTTGTTGTTAAATAAAATAAAAAACATTTTTGAATGTTTTTTTTATATATGTT